GTCGCCGTGCGGAGCGAGATCTTCGAGTTGCGACCCGCGAGCGAAATGAGCCGGAAAGACAAAAGAAGGGAATATGAGGAGTCCGACAATTTTCGCAGTTCCGATTTCTTTTTGTGAGATATACAGTGTAAAAGCTCTTTTCGCAAACTAAACCAGAGAAATTAATAAACACCATATTCTCTTGTTAATTTCCAGTGGACATTAATAACATTTCAGTTTCAAGCTTAATTAAACATCAACATTAATTAAAAAGATATATGATGTTTAAAATTGAAGAGCTGCAATAAATGATAATCTTTTCTTCGATATTTTTACTGGGGAAAGATTAATTAAAGAATCGGTCATTAAAAGGATATCCGCGAATTTTAAAACACCTTATAAATTCCTAAGCATGCATGAAACGATGTACTTAATCTTTATATTCGGCCGTATTTCGAACTCATTTCTCTTAATATCTGATGAATTATATATTTTTAGGTCATAAAATATCCTGAAATGAATGAAACTCGGAGTAACGAGAGCGTGCGACTCCGCCGAGCTTTACGTGCCGATTTATTACATACGATTAATCGCGGCGACGGTCCCGAGTTAGCTCCTCGATAGGAGCTTCGTTCTGTGCGCGTAACGTCTCAATTATGCTTTTTATCATTATGAAATAGTGTACTTTCCGCGGCCGGAACTTTCTAATTGAAGGGAAGTATTACGCTCTAGCGAGCACTCTCTTCTCGTATGTAACCTTCCGTTCTGCAATGATATTTGATTCGGAAAAACAAGAAATATTGTGAAAACAATACGAAACCAGATCGCCGAATACATGCAAGAAATATGCGATTTCAGTAGGAAACAAATATTTATAAATTATTTCGCTAAACTTTCGTTTGTACAGCAATGTATTATACACAATTTTGAGAAAACTTACATGTTTTGTAAGATAAACGTTTTAGTTTTGTAGAATATTTATTTTATTTGACTTTGATTGATTTCTGATTAGCCTTTATGTGATCAAACAACAAAAATAATCATATTTATACTATACAATAGAAGAGATATTATTTGTGTCACTATAACAGCAATTTTAAATTGTTCTAAATTCTAGGTTATAAAAACAAAACAAGGGAACTTTCATCTTCTCATTTTACTAACAAACTTTTTTACTTTCTAGGTTGGCAATTCTATCGCGTGAATTAATCGTCGATTATGCTATCGAAGATCGATTGGAGTCACCCTCATACCTATATTCAGTCCTCTCTAATAATTGTTCTAACTTTTGCCCTATTAATATGAAAAAATATGCTTGCTGTAGTTTCGAAGAATGCCTTCGTACAATTCGATATTTAATCATTTATCATCTGCCTTCTCTCCTTGAATGTATGTACTTTCTACATCTATCATTTTTCCTCCTTTTTCATTTTCTAAACGGAACTGTATTGACTCGCGTGAAGTGTAGGAGATAAATAACGAGCGTAAGAGTTAAGAAGATACTCTTACGTTCATGGGCAATGCGGGTGTTCCGCGCGATTGCGTTTCTTGACACTCAAATGGTTATATGTGCCGAGAGAAAGACGATCACATTAGACACAATGAATGCGCGTGACGAGCTTCACAGATGCACATTAATTCGGGTCGTTCGTTTCGAGAACGCGCCCGCACTTTTATTTGGCGATCCGACGCGTCGCGCCATGAGTCGAAAAACGCGGAATACAGAATCTTTTGCGGCACACAATTGAGACATGTGTGCGGCGTCGCTTCGTAAGCCGAGATCACGCTTCGATCATAGAAAAAAAATCGATTTTCACTCACCGAAAAAATCCTCCCAGCTAACCGAACCGTCGGAGTCCACGGCGTTGGCGCTCACAGCTTCCGCGTCCACCTCGCTGCTCATCGTGAAGTTTGCAGCAGTTGCGACGTGCGCCCTTCCTATGGCGTGCCTCGTTGAGAAAAATCCCTCGTCGATCCTCGACGTCAACGTTACGTTTTCCGTAACGCACAGCGATCGTCGCTGCGTCACATCGCACGACGTTTCGCCGGACCGTGCTGAACGGCGTGATCATACATGATCCACGAACGTGCGACGATCGCGATCGACATGTTTTTCGGCGCCGAAAGTCCTGCCGCGGAGAGTGAGCGATCGCAGACCGACAAGCGAGGAAACGAGCGCGTACGCCGGACAGAACGCGACTGACACCACCGCTGAACACGGCTGTGGTACGGCGCGCCGAAACTCACCGTGGAGGGTGAAGCGCGATCGCGAGTCGATGGACGGACCGAAACACCGCATGCACCAACACATACAACACACTCGAGATACGAAACGCAACTGAACACGGTGGGGCGCGCGGTGCGGTACGGCGTGACGGGATGCGCCGAAACTCGCCGAGGGTGAACGATCGCGCAGGCCAGCGAACGTTTCGCGGAATTTCACAGCTTTTCCTAGAAAGCACGTAAATCAAAACAGATTTGTTTTGACCTATGTAGGTGCGGAAAGAGGCGAGTAGAAATAACATCACTGTGTTTAAAATATTCATGTTTCACGCTTACTAGGATTAATTTGGAAACAGCTTGAGCGAGGCTCGCTGCCTTTTATACATCGTTAGACTATTCAGACTTTTTCCTGGAACTATTGGAGATAGTGCTGTAATACAGTAACACATTTCGGAAGATGTATTATAGAGATGAGAAAATGGATACGATATACATTACATGATGAATATTTATGAGCATAACATCAAAGTAAAAGATCTCTTTTTCCCGAATATTGCTCAACCGGCACCGTGAAAGTCGCTACACATTCTTTCGAATCCCCCCACACGCGATGGCGTTTATTTTTTGGAAGAGCATGGCATACACGCACCTACATGTGCGTATATATTAGGGACCGCTACGTACGCACGATCGTCGACGGAATCGCCGTTCTATTATTAGACAGCCGGCGTTCGCCGTTGCATCCGACGGCAGAATGAATGAAGAATGCTCTCCGAACATTAGACTCATCGCTCCTTGATCAGCTACGCGCGGGTGAAATTATTTTGCTTTCCGGAAAGGATTAAAGACACAAATTGATCATAATTTTGGATATCAGTTTTTAATATTGTTCATTTTGAGATGAAGAATAGTTCCTAATAGATCTTGTTTTCTTCTCTCTTAATTTGTCACATTTGGATTATTTTAAGCTAAAACTTTTTTGCCATCTTTTTGTTCAATTACACATTTTTCAAGCTCGCATTTACATTCAAATGTTGTAACATTAAGAAGCAAAATATGTTTCACTACTTCTTGAAAGAAATTTAATTCGTTAACTTGTTTTCTTATCTTCATAACATCTTGTATGACTTCTTGTGAAAGTAAGTAATGAAAAGAAATGACGTTGCGTTATTCTGATTTAATTAGTATGACTATTAGTATTTGATTAATAGTCTAGATGCAACATATATTTTGCAAACATAATTGTATAAAATGATTAGTATATGAAAAATTACATATTGTGTGTATAATGCTTGTAATATGCAGGAAAAAATTATTCTGCTTGATGATGCACATACTTGCTTTATATTTCGCATCATAATATAGCCATAAACAATGTACTAAACGGTAAATATACAAGATCGCTATAAAGAAATGCCGACGCGAGTATAGTCTAGTACAGTTTATTACATATACTTTTCCTTCCATTATCTATAAGTTGATCATAATTACATTTCTCTGTTTGAATTCAAATTATCGTGTTTTACGGTACAATAATGATCGTTTCACATTATCTTAACTCACTTTTTTTTTTTTTTAAAGAACGCGATCTTATTGCACCGTGTTTTTAATTATTACCATGGTACAATCTTATTGCCAGTGTAAAATGTCACAATTTTTATAAATTAATTAACAATATGCTTGGCCGTACAATGTATTTACGGGAGAATATAGATAGTCTTTCCGCATAAACTTCACCGTCATTCTTTTAAATGGATTGAATAGAATAGATAGTTCTCGGCGCATCGGAAAGCAAGTTTCCAAATGCACACTTTATTTCCATATTTAAGTATAATAATAAGGAATAGGATGTAATTATGAATGATATTCAGTAATGGTTAGATGTTTTCGTGGCACAGGTACATATATAACTTAGAATAATACAAATAAGTTATCACAAATGTATCGTAAAAAAATTCTAACATAAATCTATAAATTGAATCACGAATCACGAATGTGCTAACATTGCTTAAATATTAATCAATATCTCTCTCAGATGTTAGATTTCTCTATTTAAAACCAGCGGAAATAAAAGCTTACAATACATTGTGAGAATAACAATTAAATTATCTAGTATTTCCAATATACAAAGCGAATTGTACAACTTGATCAAAATTCTCGCGAAACTACCAATTTATATTTTTAAATTATATTTTAAAAAATCATTCTATTTATTAATGTCGTCTCATCTCATATTATATCATATCATTTCATTCAAAACAATTCTATTTGATATATGAAAATAATCATCAAAAGGGAACAAAGTTATGCATATGTTATAAAACGTTTTCGAAACAAAATAATATTTTTTTTTATTTAATTACTAGTTTAATTCTATTACTAGCTTTAGAAATATTTCAGAATGCCAAGTTGTAAATTCATATTTTATAGTAAGCTCCGGTATTATGCCATCGAATTGTCAAATCTTGCACTCATACAACATATAAAACAACACGATCTTATCATATACGTAATAACGTCTCTTTGTATGTGAAATCCTCCTTTGAACATTAGACAAATTTTAAGTGTCATGATGAAGATTAGATGTATGTTACATCCAGAGTCGGATTTAAAGAAGTGGGGGTCCCGGGGTGGCTGAATCAGAGGGGGCCCTCAATTCGTAAGAGATCAAAATCATTGAAAATTCATTTAAAAATTCATAAATTTAGAAAAGTTGAAAAACATATTTCAATATTATTGCAACAAATATTTAAAATATATTTAATGATGCAAACTACAATATTTGCAAAACTCTGGCATTCAAAATATATTTTCAAAAAATATATCAAATATAAATATATAGATTTTTTAATCGAATTTTCTTTTTAATCAAGTTTGTGGGGGCCCCTGGGCGGTTGTCCTGCCCGCCCACCCTCAAATCCGGCACTGATTACATCTGCCTTTTTTTATGCACATAGCAAGTACCGCATTATTATACAAGTTAAACACAATTTCGCATGTTATTATATAAATCAGCGGAACAAATTATCCTAATGAAAAAAATGTATTTACAGTTGATTTTAATAAAAGAAAGTATGTGTCTAACACGGAAAAAATTTTCACTATCTCCTCTCACACCGCTCAATTATCGTATGAATCGCATTAAACGCAGACATCTATATGAACAATTCCTTAATATTTTACAATGATTCTTGAGCAGCTCGATAGGGAAAGACACAATCGTCATGGAAAACAAGATTTTAAGCAAAAAAGCATGATATACGTTATCACGATCCATGTTACTTTTCTTTTGATATTTCTTTACGATTTTTATATTGCACCACATATTTTTAAATCAAAATTTTGTGATATATATATAATCGTGTAAGTGTCCTTGTTACTTTATGTAATTTTCTGTTTACGAGTAGAACAATTTTTAATCGAATACTGTATTATCTTTCTCAATACGCAATAGACTGGAATTTTTGCAAATGTTGCTGTAGTGTTGAAGAAACCGGCAAAATCAATGCATGTATATGCACAAATGTTAAATGATGACATGATTGTAGATATATATTCAAAGACGATTGAACTGATTGAAATTATCATAAATTTATGTGTATATATAAAAATTTAATCAATTCAATCTAGTAACCAAATTGTAATATTTGTAAGTGTGATCTTGAATTATACAATGATTATTGAATCCTTCTGCAATATTATTATATCCACAATCAATGTTCCTATATAAATATCATTAGTTCTATTGAATCTCCGCAGTTTTACAGGAGGACATCAGCATTATTCGCTAATATTAGCACTATCTTGCTTGCTATACAACTATTTAAAAATCTTATGCGTATCGTATAACGTTATCAAAAAACAAATCATAATAATAAAGCAGTCTTAAACAAATTGGCGCGATGTATGTTCCACAACATCGTTCATAAATGAGATTTTGTCCGAATAATACTTAATTATATATTTACCTATTGAAGTGAATGCCGATGGTATCATTTTCATTAAAGGCATGGTGTCTGCAATTATTATACTAATCGAGCTCTTACTACACGTTTAGGAGGATGAGCCTTTCCTTCTTTTATGCGTAACCTTGCTGTCAGTCGAATCATCTTTTATCTGTTTATGTTGCTGATTAGTTCCAAATCCTAATACATGAAAAAAATATATAATTAGATATTGATTAGATAGCGATTGATTAGGTAGTGATTCATTATTATTCATCATTACCGCTATAAATTTCCATTAATATATTTTTTAAGTAGATTTGTAGATATTTTTTTTAACAAAATATCAAGAAAAAGAAAGACTTGCAATCAATATTTTCCAAATTATAGTTCATTTATCTCTATTTTAATTTATGTGTGAAATGATTTCACATGCAAATTTATTTGATCGTTTCGACGTCAAATTGATTGATTAGGTCAGTATAATACATTTAAGCCGATCAAATTAAATATTCATCAATGACAACATTATTAATTAAATATAATACTATTAGAGTTCATTGTACATAAATATGTACAATAGTGATAAATCGTCTTGTATCTTTATGTAAAATATAATCTTACGTTTTAACTTCGCCACACGTGAACGCGTTACGCGTGGACTTTGCAAGTTGAGTATAGGAACAGATTCGGTAATCTTTTTTCTTAGTCGTGCGATTTCTTCCATCGCTGGTGTCATCCATTTTGGTTTGAGTTCGTTACTGATTATAAAAATTGATCAAGTATTAATAATATATGAGTAATATGAATTAAAAAGACGTATATATAGATATAGAATGCTTGAATAACCAAAATTGGATACTTACTCTGAAGATTTTGGTGTTGCTTTATGCCTAAATGAGCTTGACTGCCTTTCTTTCATTCTACGAAGTACATCTAACATTGCGTATGTTGGCAGAGACGGTGATCGTCGGGGCGAAAGAGACGAAGGCGAAGGGGGTGTGATAGGCGGTGTGAGAGGAGTGGACTGGGTAGAGGCGTAGAGCGGTTGAGTACTGATTTTTGCAAGTTTGTCTGGGTGCAACGCTAACACTGCTTCCCAGCTGAATTCTTTTTTCTGAACTGGACGCTTGGGTTGTGTATTACGTGTTATTCGTATCTAAAATAAATAATATCACAATAATAGTAAAATTATATATGTAAGTTTAAAAATTAGAAAATTTTTCAAATTAAATAATTTTTACCTCGCCGTTCACAGGCCTGCAAGGTTTTCTTTCTCTCAAATATGGACGCTCGAAAAATATAGAGGTTGTAAGATTTTCGCTGGATTCTTTCATGTTGTAAAGACATGTAGGAATATTGCCGTCTTGGTGTAAAAATAAATTCCGCAAGTAAAAGTAATTGGGCTTGGTCTCAAATTCCAGCTCGGCAACATATTCCATATATTTCATGACAGCCGCTATAAAAGATATTATTTCTATAATTGTTTTAATAACACAATAAAAAAAATACGTACAATACAATATATACAAAAATCTCTCTTTTAGAACTTTATTTACTTATCACATTTTTTTATATTTTTACTAACCTGGTGGTTTTTTCTTGTGAGGGAAGCATTTATCCATAAATAAGGACAAGTCTGATAGAAGAGTTTCTTTTTGTTGATGAACTTCTTCTGGGTCCATAATTAAACTTATTTCATCACTGTCTTTCTCCCAAGGTAGCTTTCCGCATAACCATTGTATAATATTATATCCTAGAGTTTCTAGATCTCCTCTCCTCGAATGTGCTGAAAAGTATATTTGAATAAACTATTGCATATTTTATCTAATAAAAGTGCAAAATTGATTAAATGTAGAAATAATAGTTTTGTCGCGAATAAGAGAAAAGTTCAGTCTGTTGAATGCAGTCATGCATTTTTTTTACTTAATGAAATACTTTCGTCAAAATTAAAAATAGTTCAATTGTCCCTGTCAGTTTTTTACATAAATTCTCATATTCTTTATAGCTGCAATGTATACAAACGGTTGTGAGTACATCATCGAGAATAATCTTACTTCCATGATGAGCATCTCGTGATGTGAATTCCAAAGTACCCTCGTGGGCTCTCCTTTCATCGTGTACAAATGGTTTATGTCCACCGGTTCCTGTGCGAAAACGATACGCCAATCCGTAATCTACCAAATATGCCTCGGATATGTTGTCCCCATACGACAACAGGATATTTGGTCCCTTAATATCTGCATGAGCGTATCCCTTACTGTGAATATACTCTAATGCGTCCAACTGAAAAAAAAATTAAAATAAATATTTATACAATTGCAAATCTTATTAGAAATTCGATTTCCATCGCGACAATTACCATTTGTACAGCTAAAGTATTAACGAGTTTTGTTGGAAATTTCCTTCTATATGATAGAAATAATTTTCCAATGTCTATTCCGTATCGCGGTATTACTAGAAACCTGTATCGTTGACCCCCATAAATATGAGATCCAGATCCCTCATATGTAGGAACACCGATTCTCCTCTTTCCCTGAGATTTACACCAACTTTCAACTGTAAAGAATGATGGAATATCAAAGATACTTATTCATTTTGTATATATTTTTTTTTTTTTAGTTTTTTCTTATAAAACATTGATAAATTATAAATGTGTAAATTAGCCCATAATATACATATTACTTACTCATGTGTTTGCGCGCTGCTCTTATATAAAAATTCATTTCAACAAATAATGGCCCATTATTGTGAGGTTCAATTTTTACAACGTACTTTGCGTCTTGCCCCACAGATGATGTAATGTCGTTAGAAGCTGCAAAAGAAAAAAACCATTTTATAATCAAAACTTTTATACATAGGATATAATATTCAAAGTTTTAAATTTGAATGCTTACCTAGGTATATGTCTCCGAAACCACCATATCCGATAGTGTTCCCCAGTTTCCATTTGTTTTGTGTAATATCGGTCAAGATTTCTCCTGCTGGTAGTTGCATTGGTAATTTACAACCAGCAGCTGCCGCCCTTTTCACAGGCACATCTTCTGCTCGTCTTGGAGGCATTCTACTGCTATTAAATCAATCACATGTATATTGATATCATTTATCGATTACAAAATAATACAACTTGTTACATCTTACATAGAGAATATCCAATATTTGAAATGTAGAATTTGTTTTCACTAAGGAAATTGTATCATTAAAAATAAAACTAAAAGTTTTGATACATGAGTTGCAGATCTTAGAACATACTGGAAAGGATATGACTGTTCTATGTTGGGTACAATAGTGTGAGACAAAAGATGCCTTGGCCCTCACTATCATGCTCAGTTTATATCTACTATGTTTTTGTGCCAGATTTGAAGTAGATGGCTTTGAAGTACACAAGAATAAACCTCTACAAATGTTGGATAAATATTGTTTCCTGTTGCACACATCTTAGACACAATTCTGTAACATAGCTCAGGTAACCCTTCCAATATATAATTCTGTTATATTATCCAATACATTATGTATAACAAAATTTCATAATTTTGTACATTCCAATAACAAACAAGAACACATTAAGCATATTAATAATTTTATATTTTATTGTCATTGTTTTCTTTAAAAGTATCACTCACATACATTTTTTTAAATATTTTTATTTATATGTCAACTGTGTGTGTTAAATATATCTCATTATTAAAATTATATATGTAACATACATTCATATTAATTTTATAGCTGTTGTAAATAAATATTTATAACATTAAAAATCTTTAAATATATGCATATATAATTAAGAATAAGTAGATGTTTTTCATAATTTTGAAACACATAAAATTATAATTTAGATAAATATATCATAATTTTTAAATTACAATTAATACATATAATACGAAGTACCAAAAAAGAAAAAGAGAGGGAATATTTATTTTGTCATAACTCAGATATCCACCATTTAATCCTTTTCACAATGATGCACTTAAATTAGGTATGCATTTGTATGATAAAGTAAAACGCTACTTTATTTTTTTTTTGTAGAAAATTTTGGAAAATATATTATATTGTAATTTTATGTTGAAAATGCAAAATGTATTTTTTGCATCATATAAATTAAAATATTTATATAATTCGTAATTATAAATTAATAAAAAAACCAACTACGTTTGTTTATCAACGATAAATTATTAACAAGGTTTATTAGTTTCATAATTCATCTGCGATAATTTTTACGAATTGTGTTGATTTACACAATAGAATAAAATTTTTTTACGTACATTAGCGAAAATTTTATGCAAATCCTAAATGCAAATTCTTTGTGCATAGTATACATACAGCGAAAGCCTATTATAAAATAATTAAATCCTTCAATTATGTAAAATAGGTAGAAATAATTGAATAAATAATGTCACAATACCGATAATAGATCGTACAAAAGAGTACGTTACAAATAAATTTCAATATCAGCTGTGAAGAGCATCAACCAACACCGGGAGGATCGTTTTTTACTATATAATATGCTACATAACAATAATATACTTACATGACGCACGTGTATATTTTTAAGGATTTAATCGGTTTCTTATTTAACAAGAGGAACTTATATATTCACGCGCGGGCGAGCACTCGCGAAAAACGCAGCGGTGAAATCGAGATTCGCAGTCTGTTAAATTTCGCTAGACTTCTGGCGCATTCTGAAAGGTTAGTTACAACAAGATCACGGATGGAAGGCCGATATATATACATGTATATATATATATATTTATATGTTGTGCACGTGTGTGTATATATTGCCGTTCAGAGAACAGTTCAATGTATCATGTGCGACAGTTAGCCGGCTTTTCTTCCGTTTTTTGAGACGCGCACGAATGAGAAATTCCGCAGGGCACAAAAGCGAGATAAAGTAACGAGCGGAACGCACGCAGCGAGTTGAACGCCTGTGTTGCGTATGTTAATGGAAGCACGGAACGACGTCTCGCCGATGCCGATGCCGTCGTCCTCCTCCTCGCCGCGCACCAAACAGTACAAGCGGATGCACATTCGTACGTTAATGCGTCCGAATGCGCCTGTTGATGCCCGCAACGGTCCGCCGCGGCCGACACTCGTCGAGTCGCAACCAACCGTCGCAAACTTTACGTTCTGCCTCGATATTCACAGCGAAATCTGACGAATCGCATCACACTGCTATTTGTATATACGAGAACCGGAGCAACGATCAGCTGAAGCCGTCTTTGTAACGTCTTTTACAAACAGAATGTGTCGTCATGCTGTCAAAATGGGCGCGATAGCCAATCAATTTCCCGTCTATCTGGAAGTAACTAGATATTTTACTGAAGGTGATTGGTTATCTTGCTTCATGGCCGTGTGTTAAGCTAAGGGCTTGTTTCGATGAACTTGCTTAGCAGCTGAAGTATGCGACGAGAAATCGACCAATCACGTCTCTACAAAGAGTGCGCTGTATTTTAATTAAAATCAGTAGAGTCGCGTTACTATATTATATTATATCGTGATGATGTACCTCGATTGTGTGTATTAGTGTGCAAAAAATCAGAGTTGTTTCTCGCAATTGAAGCGAGAATTTAAGTTTAATCCGACGATTTTATCCGAGATGACGCGTAGTTCTCTAACACGATAACTCGTAATTCGAGTCCACTGTGTGAGTATGACTCTGACGATCTCTTTGTACTCCGTTTAGTGGTTGAAATCCGCTTGCATTGACGTCTCCTCGTCGGGCGTTTGCGAGTGTGTCGGTAGCCGCTTTCGCAGGACGCGGCGATAATAAAGATTGTACTGATTTTCTTTTGTGAGCAAATATGTATACGTTTGTTCGTTCTCGTGGAACTGCCGCAGAGATATCGCGAGTATATATTGCACTGTAAATCGCTGCAGAGGCTATAAAGAAGTGTTTGTAAGAGATTACCGCGCGCTCTATATGCCATTCGTATCCTATTATCCGCGCCGATTGATTGCGCCCGTTTAAAATATCTGCAGTGAGTTTGTAGTCGCTTGTGTATTATCCTGTCAAGTGATATAAAAGCATTTTGATAAGAATCAAGTATGCTATTCATATTTATACTTATTGCAAATCAATGTTATATCTTTGTCCCATATTTTCTATAAGTGTGAAGGAAAATTTTCTAATATTCTGTCTTCGCAAAATTACTCCGAAATTATATTATCTTATAAATTGCAGTATGTCCAAAGTGAAATAATATTTCTCTCTGCACGTTTGACATTGTTCAAAAAAATACATTTGACCGTCTGTGATTATCGTTTCAAATGATTATCGTGTAACAATTTTTTTTTGTAGTGTAGTTTTATCACATATGTGTTGAAGTGTTATCTTAAAAAGTTAGATTTCTTATATTTATATGTTTTGATAATTTAATGAAAATTAATTTGCATTGCTAAATAATAAGAGCAATTTCCTGTCATTTCAAAGCTGTGTTGCAACACATACGTAATGCAACCAAGCATATGAACATTTATGTGATCTATTTTTACAGAGTATTTGTCACACAGAATATTATAGTATCACTTTGTCACAACCATGTCTTATCCTGGTCAACCACCCATGGGTATTCCGGGAATGCCTCCGATGCCATACATGGTTGGTGCACCACCGCCAATTATAGGAGGAGTAATGCCCATGGCTCATGTAAGTAAACTTACCATATGTAATCAGCATGATAATCGTGTTTTAATAGATTACTTGTAAAATGCAATGCATTTTTTTCATTTATACACCAAATAAATAGTCAGTTTTTGTGTATAATAACTTTCTCTTGCTATTGCTAAGAAATTAGTTTTAAAATGAAATAAAGCATAATTTCATGTATAATCAAAGTATTGATTAATATATATCATGTTATATAAACCACGCAATACACACATATATATTACATACATATAGATATAGAGTGATATAATACATTAATAACATGAATTTTATCATAAGTTTGTTTGAAATATGCAAGAAATGTTTTTCAAATAGATTTGAACACAAGACTGTTTAACACATTTATACTTTTTTTAATTTAAAATGCATGTTATGCAGAGTGGAATGGCAGCTCAATATTTCTGTGCGTAGCGACGCTTAGATAGCTAAACTAAGATTGACTTAATCGTGCTATTAGAGATGGAGAGGAAAAGCAAAGTGCATGAGTAGACATGTGCATAATTAAGAATCCTACCATTTATAAAACATAGATGATTCCAACACCCGTATCTGCGATGCAGACATCCGCACCTGCCGTGCGGTACTCGCGCAATCAGAATCGCCACGATAATAATCGAAGACGCGAGAGAGAACCTGGCCCACCTGTCACAGTATTCATCGGTAACATAATGGACAGAGCGCCAGATGTGATGATACGACACATCCTGGGCGCGTGTGGACACGTTCTTTCTTGGAAAAGAGTTCAAGGATTCGGTTTTTGCGAATTTGCGGGCCCGGATGCGGGTCTCAGAGCAGTTCGATTGCTTCACGACATGGAGATAGGCACGAAGAAGCTTGTTGTCAAAGTGGATGCTAAAGCTAAAGTAGTCCTGGACCAATTTAAAGGTGAGATTTTGATCAAAATCTCTGGTTCTGATAAAAGTCGGGATGAGAATTGATTAATAAAACCGTGTGTTGCTTTGCAGCTGAGCGAAGAAAGAAACTTAGGGGTGGTCAGTCACCTTTACAAGACGAGACGCCCAATGACGGAGCCGATGGCGAAGAGGGTGAAGATTATATGGACGAAGGTATGAGAGTGGTCGATGCAGACGCACTCGCTCGAATCAATCAGATCATAGCTGAACATACTGCTGATTTAGAAATGGCGCAAGTCGCTCCAGGTAATTATTTACACTGTGCCTGAGACTCTCTTTTACTTATACAAAGTATACATTTTTTAATTTATTTTGTTTTGTGATTTATCACAGAGGAACATCAGACAAAAATGGTAACGAAATCGTTAAACCTGGATGACGCGGAGATAGAAGAGAGTAAACGAGATTTGATTACTCGGGAAATTGGCAAATTCCGGGAAGTCATGAAGGTAATTATTATTTATGAATAGTTCCAAAGCTCTTGTTTTTTTTTCTTTAAGTCTTTTTTCTTTTACTTTTTATGATCAAAAAATTCGTCGCGTAAACACAATGAAAGACGGAATTTTAATCTCTCTTGAGAAGTAGACTGAAAAATATTTAACTAATTTTTTTATATTTGTCACGAGTTTGTTTACGTGTAATACTCGGCTTATGAAGCATTCTAAACATATCTTCTTAAAAGTTTTATTATAGTTCTGATTATTATAAAGCAATAGAAATTCGGCAGGATGAGATAATGCATTTTGATGCAAAATCAGATAAAGAATAATTTAATTTGCTATTAATACATTAGCTGTAATATGTGTGTCCGTATTTTTTTAAAATACTTGTATCATTTTTTTATTTTATTTGCTCTTTTCTTTTTATCATCTGGATATAAAAATTTGCAAAATACTTTTCCATCTTTTATTTTCAGAATGCTAATTCTATGTTGTAACACTGTTATTTTCTTTGTTATTCATGACGCTTCTTTTTTACGCATTTGTCGGCTCATTCATAGTTTGTGGTATTTGAATGCGTTAACGACGCCGATCGGACATACTTTACGCATGCAAAATTTTCGCATAACGTAAAAACATTGTTACATTATGTCTTGCCGATTTATATAAAATCAAAGGTATACAACAGCATAACAACGATGTAAATCTGTGAGCTCGTGTTGTAAACGAAAAAAAAACTCATCTTTTAATGTTTATCGATGAATTGCTGTTGGCATCTACTTTGTACATACGTTGCGATCGGACACGAATTCACGCGTAACGCAATTCAATAATTTGTATAGAAATGTAGAGTTGCAAGCTGACAAGCTCTTTTTATCTAACATTAAAGAATCGCAGGAGTGTCCAATCGCACGCACATTCTATCGCAGACACTAGTAATTAAACTCTTTCTTTCTCTGTGTACGCTTAAATTGTAAAGAAAAAAATTGTATTGGATATATGAGAGAGGATTATGAGTATCTCGAAAGCCGTAGCTTTTAAGTATTTTGTGGTAAAGTGCGTGTGTGCTATGTTAGCTCTGAACAATTGGAGCCGTGACTCGTTGCTATAATTATAATAACAGGCAGCGTGCGTCGCACACAGCAAACGCACACGCCTAGGAATGCTGTGTATGGGGACCACCCTTTCACTCACTCATTGGCTCTGAAGGGAGTCAATCACAGCACATCCCTCGTAATTTCGCAGGCGGCTGCAGCCTCGGTAAGTCAGAGTATAATCCAAACAACCAAACATGAAAAAAATAAAAAGAAAAAAAAAGAAATGCGCAATATGTTAAGAAGGAGATTCTCTTAGCTCTTCGCGACAAGCTGGCGACATGTAGCTGATCAGTTTGTTTCTATCGGTATTCCGTTTTACTGATTCATCGCAAACATAGATCTGTGCTACATTGCAGCTGTTACTTTTGACGTGTATAGATAGACACGATTACGCGAATCATTTGTTAACAAACTGACTTTATCTACTTTGTATATGTTATGCTAAACTGCTAGCAATAATGTTTAATATTAAAGATACGTTTTGGTTTAAAGTAATTCTTTCTCGTTGCAGAACTGCATCTTGTGTTTCAGTAATTGCAATGTTAATTTTCCGCATAGCTAAGTGGATTTGAGTATCTGTTTTATTCATTTCTTGTTCATATATTGTCTAAGCTAATCAAAATGATTTGTCATTATTGGTATGTTCAAAGTTAATTGTATTCAAAGATATCTCGCAACAGTAATGGATATTGTTTATGCAAAGTGGACCACTAGAAATAAAACGATTAAATATTTTTCTTAGACGATAAAAATATGTTCAGGATAAAATCTGGATAGCTTGAAGAATTAAGAGGACAAGAACAAAATTCTTTACAAGTTTTATTTTACAGAATTGTCAAAATTATTGATATATTTTTTAAATACAGTCCGATATTTAGAAAGTGACTGTCAAGACCATCCAAATCTTGTTCTGAACATCTCGCGTCTCTCTTCAAGTCTAAGAAAAATTTTTAAATATTTTCTTTCTAGTTAATCATCAGTACAAATTCCTTGAGCGCAATAGCGCATTTTGCCATTTAGACAAACGTTACATTGATACTCATGCTGATGCCTAGCAGTCTAGTATTCGCATATCAAATGTAGGTAGCGGTTGGTCCAGGTTGCTTTCACGCACAATCTAGGATATCGGAACATATTTTCACTTTGAGCAAAATACTACTTTGGCGCTGACACACTTTTAGCAGTACATCTTTTCGATAGACTATTTTGATAGGGTCGAGAGACTTTCTCTGTACGCTACACACAATGAAACTGATTTTGTCCATCACCAATGGCGACTGTTCAGTTGTTGTCTTTATTTTGTGTAAACAGCTTCTGTCAGCGTCTCGATCAGACATGTAGTACCTAGGTGCGCGCTCGTCCATTCTCCGGTACCACCACACTGACTGACCAAGTCAACTAAACACTGTGAGTAAACTCCACAACCATGAGCCAACACAAGCATTCGGTTCTTGTAGTTTTATTTGCTAGTGAACTGCCCATCTGAGAAATACCTTTTTGACCACGTTTCATATTTCAGCAGTCTATTTTCTCCTCCACAATGTGCATCTACTTTTATGCACTGAGTTATTCTACCCTTGTCAGAGCTTAAAACCATGGGTTACCGTATGGACGAGAGAGCTTATGTTCCACGATGCTGATAATAGATAAAAGATAAAATCGTGTAAAATAATAGGATTATCGTCAAAACGATAAAAGATTGAAAATAGAAAGAACTTCAATTTTCTTAAGTTCTGCAATTGTGATGGCAAGCATATCATTTCTGTAATATCAGGAAGATTATTAAACCAAAAGGAAATGTATGTTGCTTAATAGCGTAAAATATATAGAGTTTCTAGTAGTTTACTAGTTGATTTTTTAACTTCACATCATAGAATGTTTTGTTTTAAAACATATCTGAGAATATATTGCGGGCAGATTGCATTTCTAACGATCGCATGATACTTTTTAGCATCGGGATGGATTTTCCAAACAGTAACCCATTTTTTTGAATACTAGTATAACGAATAAGGATGAATCATACTAATTTATTCTAACGCAACTACGTTGCGTTAATAACATACGAGACGATAACGGTGGGCAAGCTATTGTGCATTTGATATTCAACAGTTTGCTGCATCGGCTGCCATAACGCGTGTAACCATTACCAGAGGAAAACAAATGTTGTCAGACAGTGTGAGACAGTTACTTGGCAAATGTGAAAAGATGTTTTGGTGGGATACCCTACTCCTACGTGATGACTGCGCATCTGATTGGTATACTACTTTCTAATAATTATTGAATATTGAATCAAGAATGTCTAAATAATCTCAAAAGATAAAAAAAAGAACCCCTTTCAAGCTCTTAGATTTTATTCATAGATTTAGCCACTATCGATTTTATAGGCACATTTGCAATGTTGTAAGTACATTGGGTGGCCTCTGCGATGCATCTGTTTAGCGTTAAGGTACTTTAACATAAGCTAGTGTCTAAGATAACTGTTATGCCTGTATCCAAACATTTGTACCTGCACTTAGGTAATTGATATGTAAACGAGATTTCGCGTAAGATGCCGCCGATCGAGCATACTCCAGTGGAGTGAGTATACCATATTGAAATGAACATCTCTCTACATTTATTATGTCAGACTGATTAAGGCTTATACAACTAGTAATCGTTCTGTATGCACAAATCGCGATATCGCTGTTTAGTGCGATTTCTTTTTTGCCTTTCTGTACATTTTCTTTGTTGTATAATAGAGAAAAACCGGTACGTTTTTAAGTTAAACAGAGAAATTTTTTCGACAGTTGAAACTTGACAGTTCTACGATTTGTTATAGTTGAGTTTTTTTAACACTTCGTTGAATAAATGCATTTTTATAATGATCATTAACAAGTTTCTTATTTCACATGATTTATTTTTGTTTCTTCTCGTTTTTTGTTTTGTTGCATCCAAAGAAAATACGATTGCTAGTTTCTTTGATTCCATCATTACGACAGACCCACCCGCTTGTTTCAACTCTCTCGTCTCACCTGCGTCCGCGTTCTTGTGTTTTATAGAAGCAGGAGGAGGAGAAGGCCCAGGTGAAACGAAAGAAGGAGGCTGTCGAAAAAGAGGAACGCGAGAAGCGGGAAAAGGAGCGGCGCGATAAGCGCGACGACGATGCCTCCAACAAGGATGATCAGGACGGAGATTCTGGTAGTCCTACATCTCATAAAGGTCATAATGATAGTACCAGCAGCAGTAGGAGGGACAAACGTCGGTCTAGATCTAGGTGATACTCTAATTTGCTATTACCTGTGATTCTACTGATATATTTTTTATTGTTAAAATTCTAGTAGAAGTTTTTTCTACTTGTTTCATGAACTTGAACTTTCTAGATCTAAGGAACGTGACAGAGATCGATTGAGGAGCGAACGAGATCGAGATCGAGACAGAGATCGCGAGAGAGATCGAGAGCGGGAACGAGAGCGGGAGCGGGACCGGGATCGCGAAAGGGAACGTGAGCGGGAACGCGAGCGAGATAGGGAAAAGGAAAGAGATCGGGAACGGGAGAGAGAACGGGAACGGGAAGAGGTGAGGAAGACCGAGAGGGAGATTATGCGCGAGAGAGAAGAAGAAGAAGAGGCGAAAGAAAGGAAGAAGAACGAAAGGCGAGCTAGAGAAAAGGAAGCGGCGTACCAAGAACGTCTGAGGGCGTGGGAAACGCGCGAGCGACGCAAACAGAAGGAGTACGAGAAAGAAGCGGAGAAGCGTCGCGCGAAACGCGAGGCCAGGGAAAGGGAGGCAAAGCGTCTCAAAGAGTTCCTCGAAGATTACGATGATGATCGTGATGACGCCAAGTATTATAAGGGCAAGGAGTTGTCCCGACGGCTCGAGGAACGGGCGTTGGAAGCTGAGGCGGACTCGCGAGATCGTTGTGCGGAACGTCAGGAGCTCCAGCGTCTACGTGAAAAGTTGTACGCGGACGCCTCTAATCCGGATCCAGCTGCAGAGTTTGAAAGGGTGAGTTATAAGTTTCTAATATCTTAAGTATAAAATGATGATATCTAAACTTATAATTAATAAAATCTTAGATCAATTATAACTAATTTTTATTTAACTATTTTTATTGTTTATTAAAAATGTATTAAGATTTTGAGTTTGTAAATCTAATATGTAAAAAATATTTATTTTACATTATTTTAAGAACGATTTTATTCTGCTTTCTATATGTTATATTTATTTAAACTGTGGGATACAAATCAAATTTGAGTTATCTAATTAGAATTATAAGAAAATAAACGAATCTTTTCTCACCTTTTCTTCACTATTTATTCTATATTCTGCTTTTTTCGTTAGTTGAAAGCTGAAAGAGAGGAACAATATAAGCCTAAACCAGTAATTACTATAATCGACGAAGAGGATGAAAAGGCGGCGAAGAAAGATAAGGAAGTCATGCCACCGATCGAAACCGAGCCAATAGAGAGCGATAGCGACGACGGCGTGCAATTCGACGACGCTTCCCAGCCAGAAGTACCATCGAGAACGCCGCCGCGACATCATCATCATCATCGTCGGCATCACAGACACCACCAGAATCATCATCGCGACGGCGAGGAGAATCAGGAAGGACTCGTAGAAGCGGACCGAGAAAGCCTAAAAGATGCACGGCCATCGCCTGCGCATCAATCGGCCGCGACACCTGCTCAATCCATTCCGCCGTCACTGGATGAAGATTCGCGTATGTCTCTTGTCAGTGAACCAGAAAAGACTAGTGGCAGTAAGTATACTGTTTTCATCTAAATACAACGATTGCCTCATTGAAATTTACGACTGAAAAGTTAGACGCAGTCGTTTATGTGAATGTTGAATATATTTTGAATTATATATATTATAATTTCGATTTAAAATTTGCGAGCCTAAACTTCAAGTTATAATTTTATATTTTTTTAAATGCGTATTGTAATGCAAAATAATTTTGATCTAATATTTTTTTCGTTCAATGTTCTTTTTTGTGCCATAGGTAATTTTGTTCCGTTTGCTATGGGAAGTGGAGGCAACCGTGCTAACGATCACGGTGTCGGTAGTAAAACGCCAGTCAGTCCCAGCACTACTGCGAATGCAAATTCACAGCAGGCGAATCAAACGCGGAAGAAGGGTCGCATTGACGTTAAAGATGTTTTTAATAACGACGATGATGACGATGCTGCCAATAACGCGAAGAAACGTAAACTTGTACCTTTAGGTAAGTGTTTCTATCATTCTTACTAACTTCAACGAGGGAAGTTAGAATACATGTAGCCTGTGTATTTCTATAGATTACGGTGACGAGAAGAAAAAGAAAACTGAGGATGCCACAAAGCCAGGAAAAGAGGAAAGTACAAAAAGCCAAGAAGAAAAACGAAAGCACATAAAATCTCTCATAGACAAAATACCTACCGATAAAAACGCATTATTTGGTTATCAACTTGATTGGGCAGTCATTGATAACGTAAGTCATATTTCTAGATTTCTTTTTATTTTGGAGCCATTATTCCCAATTTTATCAACATTATTTTTCATTTTAAGCATCTTGATTTAATCTGTTGGTGAAACTTGTTTTTGCTAGTATATTTTATTTTTACGTATTTTATTACTTTGTTTAGACACTAATGGAGAAGAGGATAAGACCTTGGATCAATAAGAAGATTATTGAATACATTGGCGAGCCCGAACCTACTTTAGTGGATTTTATCTGTAGTAAAGTAATGGCGGGCAGTTCTCCTCAAGGCATACTTGATGATGTACAGATGGTAATTTTCGAATATCATAAAATGTTTTTATTGCGTTTTTTATACACGATTACACTTTTACACACAATTACAATTTTATACACAATTTTTTTTTTCTAATATGTATCTTGTGTATTTCAGGTACTAGACGAAGAAGCGGAAGTGTTTGTAGTTAAAATGTGGAGGCTACTAATCTATGAAGTGGAAGCGAAAAAAATGGGTTTAGTGAAGTAAATGGAACATCGTCCGACAACAATCCATTAACTCATGGCAAATATTGTATACTATATGTGCCGATGATTACAAAAGTGGGTTAAGTAAAACATTTTTTTAAATTGATTTTATCACTTATTTCGTGTTATATCGATCTGTAAAGTCAAAATATCTTAAAATAAATAATTATTAAAGTTTTTTATTTGGTCCACTTTTATAATCCGGTACATATATTACAATCGAATCATTCGATTCTTAATTCTCCCTCTATTCTTAACTATCCCTTATTTTTAATCAGCTGATATTATATAAACCTTCCTCCGATGCTTTTCTCCACTATTTCATATTTACCTAATATGATCGTATGACTACGCCATCATGTGATTATGTGAGGATGCATAGAATGAAAATGTTATACTAAAATATGATGAAATGTTTTGTGTGTGTGCTGTTAGGATAAGAATGGAGACTGAGGGGATAGTTTAGAATAGATTGTTCTGTTATGAGTTATGATTCGACTGTACATATACAATTTCTTTACTTTCAACAAAGGAAATGTTTAGAGACCTACGTACCTATATGCAATTTATTGTCGTATTATAAGAACATTTTCCGAAGCGGGAAACACAAGTGTTGTTCAATCAATAGGTGGTCTAAGTGTGTAGTAATTATAGCATTAAATAAACTTGTAATTACGATTTATAATATTTAAGTGTTTCTCAATTTATACCATTGTCATATAGCGTTTTCGAATAAACGGGGTTTGAACGATCTAGGGTTGATCAATCACTATTTTACTATAAATGCAAGTCTTTCATTGGTGGAGAGGTTGCAATGACGTCATTAACCAATCTTAGGTCGTTCAAACCCCGTTTACTCGAAAACGCTAATAATCACGTACGTGTGACGTAAGCGATTCTCGCTTGTGTGCATGCTTCCCCTACCACGGAGCCCTGGTGCTGGCTAGAGTCCCTATATATAGAGTCTGGCCACGCTTGTGTTTATTTTATTGGTCGAAACAAAGTTTGGAAAAACATGGCGGAACCAATAGGAATTCTTATAGAAAGTATAATAATTTGAAAAGAAATAGAACAAGAAAATTAATAACAATTAATATTATTCTTTTCTAGAAATTTTTAATTGAAAAATAAAGAAAAATTAACTAATAATACTTAAAATCATATCATTACAGTACATATTATTATTACTTATATATTCAGTATCACAATAATGTTTGTATCACAATAATAAATAAAACTCATTTAAATAAAACTTATTATAAATAAAACTCATTGTAAATAAAACTATTAAAAACAATGTAAGGTTAGAATTACAATTTTTATGACAAATCCTACTTTATAATATCATTATTCTTAGATATTTTATTTTAGAAACCATATACCAAATAATTGTACTTACTTTTATAGGCTTCACACTGCTTTTATTAATACTATCAATTTGTAGTCGAATAAGGTGTAGTCAATGAAAGTTTTATTCCATAAATATGGTAAACACAAGATGCGTCTATGCATATACCGCCGCCATGTTTTTCCAAAACTAATCGAGTGGCCAGACTCTATATATAGGGACTCTAGGTTGGGTAGAGTCCCTATATATAGAGCATAAATATATTACATATAGATAGAGGGTGTTTACAATAATTCAAGTTCGAGTTAGTTTCACTAGGACCGAAAAATGAGATATACATAACCATCTAGAACCTTTATGATTCATGACAACTCGACGCTGTCTTGTATTGCTTGAGTTAAATTCATTGAATTTGTTGAGTTTAATAAATATAATTATATACATATATATATAATTATATCTATTAAAGAGGTATACAACACACACACACATACATACCAACATT